TGGGGCAGCATCTCAAGGAGGTACAGTCTCTACTTTAGATTTCCTAAGCATCCCCCCCTCCCCACAATTCGTAGCAGTCTGTCACCACATAACAGCGAAGCACAGCAAACACAAGGTGACAGCTGACAGTTTTACTTTATACTGGGTTCCAACAAGCTTTTCTTCCTCTGGAGCTTCACCAGGTGCCTCTATCAGGACAGAAGAGGATGGAAGATTTGGTCCATATTCTGTCATATTCCTGACTTGCTCAGAACTGCTTGCAACTTCTGGCTTCCAGGTCAGTGCTTGTTAAGTGTTTCTTCTCTGCTTGGGAGAGCTTAACTTGCCACTATAATAACCCAATGAACAGCAGTACTAGGCTGGCCCAACATTGTGCTGGAGAATCAAAAACTGCCCCGCAAACTGATGGCAGGATGCCCCAACTGAGATATTTATCATCAAGTATATTGCATTATTCCAGCAACTAGGGGCAAAAAACACTTGTGTGAGTTACTTCCAAAATAATCAGTTCATGAAAGTCACAGGTGGTAGACAAGACCTAAAGATTTGACATTCCTTCTTGCAAAGGAACTCATGTAATGAACTAAATTCATAAAGTGCTCACAACCGAATGATGTAGTGGTCACCCAACTGCTAGAAAATACTGAGCAGTATTGGAAGTCTGAAACAGAAGCTATGAGATTCAGGGAGATCACCTTCTCTGTGACCACAATGGCATTCACAGATGACTTTATATATGCAAAAGCTCACAATCTTTCAAAACTAACCCTAACCCTAGGCTAAGAAGGTGGCTGCTGTATTATATGTAAACCTAACATCAACCTATCAATTACTGTGCTTCTCTCTCAGAGCTAAAATGTTTATGAAGATTCTACAAAAATAGTATAATTCACCAAAAATATTTCTTTGCATAGGCAAGAACACATTTGCCAGTTCTGCTAAATTCCTAGTCAAAGCTTGGTAACTGAAGCAAGGCAAATAAAATGGAACCTACAGCAGTGTGACCAGCTAAAAGAGGTTTTAGAGGCCCCAAATGAGCAACATAGCAACCAGCTGCACCTTGGGGAAAAAGGCTGATCCCAAAGGAAACCACACAGAGTGAGATTAAGGAGAACTGAGGCAGACTACCATGACTTTCCAGTGAAGTAGTATAGGTAGTCCTTGATTGATGACTACGATTGAACCCATAATTTATGTTGCTAAGTGAGAAATTTGTTCACAACTTTTTTTATCACGTTTGTTAAGCAAATCATTGCATTGTTAAATTAGTAACCCGGTTGTTAAGTGAATGGCTTCCCCGTTGACTTTGCTTGTCAGAAGGTCGAAAAAGATGGTCACGTAACCCTGGGACACTGCAACCTTCATAAATATGAAGCAGTTGTCAAACATCCCAATATAAATCAGATGACCATGGGGATGCTGCAAACTGTCATAAGTGCGAAAAACAGTCGTCACTTTTTTTCCAGTGCTCTTTTAACTTCAAATGGTCACTAAACGAATTGCCTTAAGTTGAGGACTAGCTATAAACTCTTTCCCAGAAGGCAATAAAGACCCACTTCCACACACAGCCAAGGAAACCATAGCTCAACTCAGAGGCAACTTTACTTTTGCAGTCATGAGGATGCACAGTAGCCCTTAGCGGCCTAGGGCAGGGGTCTGTAACCTTAAACACTCAAAGAGCCGTTTGAACCCATTTCCTACAGGAAAAAAAAACTGAGTGGGTGTGGCCAACTCAATGTCACTCACTCCCATCAAGGGCCAGAAGAAGCTTCAGCCAGAGTGACGTGCCAGAGAATCAGCCCCCGGCCACTTCTTCATCCCTGCTGTCACTCTTACCTTCTCAGGCCAGGCAAGGGAGGGGAGGGCAAGAGGTGGGGCCAGCCAGTGATGGGTCAGGGAGCCGCCGCAGAGGGCCCGAAGAGCCACGGGTTGCTGACACCTGGCCTAGGGGAACAATGAAGAATATTTGTAGCTCAGGGTTGGTATGAGAAGTCCTTGGTGCTCTCTGAGTTTACTTGTTTTCTTGCAGACATTTCATTACCCTAACTAGGTATCATCATCAGTGCTAGTAAGGGGTGTGGTTTGCTGTCAATTTATATTCTAGTGTCTTGCCTGTGTGGGTGTAGGCGGTCTTAGAGATTATTTGGTTGGGCTGTTTAATGACGGCTCTATGGCAGTTTCTTGACGGGGTATTGTTCACAGGTAGTCCTTGCCTCACAACAGTTTGTTTAGTGACCATTCAAAGCTACAAAGGCACGGAAAAAAGCAACTTGTGAACCACGTTTCACACCGACAACCGTTGCATCCCCACAGTCAAAGGATCCAAATTCAGATGCTCGACAACCGACTCATGTTTATGACGGTTGCAAAGTCCCCGTGTCATGTGGACCCCCTTTTGCAAACTCCTCCCAATCAAAGTCAATGGGGAAAGCAGATTCACTTAACAACCGGGGTACTCACTTAACAACTGCAGTGATTCGCTTAATAAAGGTAGCAAGAAAAGTTGTAAAATGAGGGGGGGAGGGCAAAATTCAGCGAACCAATTTCTCACTTAGCACCATAAATGTTGGGCTCCACTGTGGTCGTAAAAGTTGAGGACCAGCCGTACTTGATGGTTGGTCCCACGAAAAGCTCCAAAATTTTGTCTGCCACCTCCTCCTCCTCCAAAGACACGTGTCGTCCTCGGGAGAAGAAGGTGCCGACAGCTGCAGAAAAAAGTGCTCATTTTGGCCCGTGTCCTCGCAGTCCGGCTTCGCGCCAAGATCGGGCTCCCAGGGAAGAAGCGGCTCCCCACCCCACCCCACCCCGAGAATGGAATATGCGTGTGTGTGTGTGGGGGGGTGTTATTTCCACGAAAAACACGCGTGGAGCGGCAGGTAACCCACTCGGGTCGGTCCCACGAGCCAGCCTGTCACGGCTCACCCGTCAAGCCGCTCCGCTTTCCCTTCGCTTCTGCCCCCGCCGAACTCTTACCTCGGAACTGGAACCGAGCCACCACTTGGCCGGCCCGGGCGCGGGCCGTGGCGCTGGAGAAGCCGCCGTGGACGGTCTTGGCTTGAGCCCCGCGCATCCAGGCGCAGCTGCCGCTCCAGAGCGCGACCCAGACGAAGCACAGGAACCGCTCCATGGCTTCTCCGGCACCCCCGCCGTCACCTCTCCCTCATCCCCACCACGTCTGCACTCGCCCTGAAGCGAACGGAAACCAGGCGGAACCAGGAAAGGAGCGGCAGCCAATGGGAGAGGGTGTTTTACCGGGAGGAGGCCAATGAGAGGGCCTTCCCGAGGAGGGCGGGAGGGCAGGGCAGGGGGAGGGGCTGTTGCCACGCGCCAGCCTCTGGCAAGGAGGACTCCCAACTGGCATTCGGGAGACGGTTGCTAGGAACGCTCCACCCGCCGGGTTCCTGAAGTTGGATGGGATTGGTGGAAGGGGGAGGAGGGGGCGGGGCCACCGCGGCCAGGGCAGGCAACGTCTGTGGTGGTAGTGGCGGCGATGGAGTTACCCAGGAGGACATCTAGTCGAGCCCCGGTTTTAAACTTCTGGTTTAGGATCCCGAGGGGCGCTCTTCCCATGCAGCCGAAGATCTTCGAAGACCCATTCTGAGCCCGCGTGGCTTAAATGTCTAGCAGCGCCATTTAACTCCTGTTTGTCCCAAATACGAATATGAATCAAAAGTGCTTTTAAATATTAATTCGAATGGATTTGAATGATTGTTTTTTGGGGGGGAGCAGAAAAGGGTAACATCATAAGGGAAGTTTTGTAGAAGTGTCTTGTCCTATTCCTCTTTAGCTTACATATGTCTTGTGTGCCAGACTAAATTATTTAATGTACCGTTATTACTTAAATGGCGAGCTCGGAGAGCAAACCACGGCCAAAAATCTAAAACCCGACCTACAAATATTTTCTATCATTTGAAGGCTATTATTCCATCTCAGAAACCTACAGTAAGTCCTTTATACTAAATGAACTCGCCGGTCCTCGAAACCTCGAAACTCCTTAACACATTGAATGCTGGCTTTAGATCAGCAGCTGGAAGGAGAGCTTCCCGAGTTTGTGTCTCTTGGAATATCCCTGCCTGTTTTATTGAGAAGTTTGATGGTTTTAAGTTCTCAAAACATTTTTAACCTGGCCAAAGAACAGCCTGGACACGCTTTTGTGAAATCTGCTTCTCTTGTTTGGCTTCCAACATTTGGTTTCCTTTCTCCTGGATATTGTCTATGGATATTCCTCAGTCACTCATGTTATGGTTGTCCCAAAGGTGCTTTTTTCTTTCTTTCAAGAGGCGACTGGGCTTTGTTTCACTTCTCGTACAAGAAGCTTCAACTCTGACAGGACAGTGGAGAATGGAAGGATTTATATTCCTTGCAGATAGCTGGCCATTTGCATCCTTTTAGAACAAGGCTCTTCAAACTTGACAGCTTTAAGACTTGTGGACTTCAACTCCCAGAATTCCTCCTCCAGTCATGTTAGCTCAGGAATTCTGGGAGTTGAAGTCCACAAGTCTTAAAGCTGTCAAGTTTGAAGAGCCTTCAAACTAAACGGTCGTTGAAGTACTTGAAGTTCGTCTGTATCCTCAGGGTTACCTGAGTAGTCCTGCCTCTTTTTTTCCAAGACTTTCATTCCCCACCATCCAGTCAGAGTTGAAGAAGCTTCTTGGATGAGAAGCGAAACGTTTTGAAAGAAAAACCAGCCAGTCCAGTTGCCTCTTGAAAAAAAAAAAAACACCTTCGGGACTTTCTCCTAGTATGGCGTAGTTGTGCAAAAAGTGCCCTGTTCGGTATTAACCGCAACGACGTGGGATCTGGAGCTCTTAACGGGGATTAACAGAGCAATCACAGGCTCGCGGGCGCCACGTTGGAGAAGTGGCAAATCTCCGAACAGGGCGCCAAAATGGGCCTCGCGGCTCTTCGGGCCTCGCGCACGCGTGCGCGAAAGCGAGAGGAACACGAGAGAGAGCGAGACAGAGAGAGAGAGACGGGTGGTCCTCGCGGACGGAATTGACGTAAGGAAGCGGAAGTGGAGCTGGGCTCCTCGGGAGGATGTCTGGGGGGCTCTCTCGGGCTGGAGGGGCTCCGCGGGGCTTGACGAAGCGAGTCCTAGTGACCGGAGGCGCTGGCTTCATGTGAGTGGGGCAAAAGTTGGGGAGGCGGCGGCGCTGTTGTCCAAATTTCCAACCTTTTTCCCGATTTCCAACGGTTTAAAGGGGTTTTCCGCTGTCCGAACAGCCTGGTCCTTGGGAAGCTGAGAAAAAAGTTGCCCTTTTAAAGGTGCTTTTGGAGCGGGAAGGACGACGGGGTTTATTTTAGTCAGCCTTAGAAGTGTCAATCCTAAAAAAAAATAAAAGATTGAAGACGAGGCGTGCAAAAACAAGATAAACGTGTAATTTGGGTGGAATATATATATATATATATATATGTGTGTGTGTGTGTGTATAGATACATAACATACACACACACACATACATACATACGTGTTCTTACAGAAAAAAAGAAAATTAAATATACCTTCCAAAAACCGCTTCTGGATTTTGTGCTTGAGATGGGGGGGGAAAAAAACACAAAACTTTGGTTTTGGGTTTTACCGATTAGTAGGTTTGCTGTTACAGAAAGGGCTGGTTTATACTATTATGTAAAAGTACAAAGTTTTGATGTTTGATGTTGTTATCTTATAAGGAAGTCTGAAATCAAGGCCTGCCTTTTCTTTTTTCCTCTAATTTTCCTACACTTTTCCCTTCCCTTTTCCTCCCTCTAATTTTCCTCCTCATTTATTTTCTATTTTTGTATTTTATATTACTAACTAATAAAAAAAATTAAATGATAAAAATTAAAAAATTAAATACACACGTGCAATATTTATATCCAAAACCACTGTGTAAACAAAACTAGAATTGCTTCCCCTATATAAGGAAAAAGAAGGATAGTGTCTGCTTTTTGAATTCCTAAAGTGACGACACAGTAAGTTGCTTGTCAGTTCTGTCTTGAACTACGTGCAAGTAAGAAGAAGCTTCAGTTCTCCTTTTTTTTGCTCATCTATTTTTGGGCATATAAAAATAAAGCCAGTGGTAATAAGTCACCTCTTTTTTCCCAGATTTCTTTTTATCTGCTGTAACCAGATGCTTTTTTTAAAAAAGGTTTTTCTATTTGAATCATTAATATTCAAATTATGCATTTGAAATCCCGAAGGGAAGTTATTTACCTGCTAAGGGCTGATTCTATGCTCTCAAGTCTGTGTATTCTGCTTTTTTTTAAAAAAAAACAACACCCTATTTTCTATACTGCACACTTCCTCACAGTACTTGTAACTTTCTTTTGATTTAAACCCCTTCCTTACAATACACGTCTGAAGCACCATATTTGAGACTGAAAAATATTTGAAATCTCTATAATAGACTATGACCTTGCATATTTAAAGTTTTGCTAGTTATTTCCCACAGAATTAGCCTTGAAAATACAGGGTTTAAAGAATATGAAAATAAATTGTACCATTACAGGTGGTCCTCAACTTACAACAGTTCACTTAGTGACCGTTCAAAGTTACAACAGCACTGAAAAAAGTGACATATGGCCATTTTTCATGTTTATGACCATTGCAGCATCCCTGTGGTCATGTGTTTTACATCGACTGTTTGACAACTGCTTCATATTTATGACGGTTGCAGTGTCCCAGAGACCATCTTTTGCAACCTTCTGACAAGCAAAGTCAATGGGGAAACAAGGTTCACTTAACTGTGTTACTAATTCAACAGCTACAGTGATTCATTAACAAATGTGGCAAGAAAAGTTGTAAAATGGGACAAAACTCACTTAACAAATTTCTCACTTAGCAACACAAATTTTGGGCTCAATTGTGGTTGTAAGTTGAGGACTACCCATACTGTAGCATCCTATGACCATTTTTCAAAGTACTGAAAAAAATAGCCTCATTCATTGTACAGTATATTTCTTTAGTTTTTATTTTGAGGTAATTAAACATATTAGGCTTAAGAGAGAGAGAAGCAGAAAAGGATTTATAACTCCTGATCTTACTGTCAGAGCAAAAAAAAACAGGAAAGCTGTTGATGTCCATGAACAAGATTTAAGAAAAAGAGCTGAAGTCTGATGTGGGTTCTGCACATCACCATCTGTGTTTTTTTCTTCCAAAATTGACAGTGCTTCCCATGTGATAGTTTCCCTTGTGGAAAAGTATCCTAACTATGTGATCATTAATCTGGATAAGGTAAGACGGTTGGTTTAAATTAAAATCATTTTTAAGCAGTACCCTAAAAAGAGTTGTAGTGTCAATCTGACAACATGGTGGGAGAGAAATCTAAGCTTATAAGTCAGGGCTGTCAAACTCGCCGGCTGGCTGCGTCATGTGCTAGCTATGCTCATGCCTGGTTTAGTGAAGGGGGAAAAATTGCAATATGCCACGCAATGCCAGCGTTATGACGCGAGCTTGACATCCCTATTATAAGGCTATATAACCTAAAGGTTGGTGTAATAGCAACGAATTTACATACCCATATTTCTTTATGACTGAACATACCTGTAAATTCTGATTCATACATTCAAATAAAAAAAATTCTGCTTCTGAATAAAATTTTGTATTATTCAGTTTCTAAAAAGTTAGAAGGGTGCTAAAATTCACACCAAACCTGTTCGTCTTTCCTGTTCCAATTTTCCCAAGCACAGTGAGTACTAATGAATGAACAACAGATGTAATTTAACATTTAAGCTAACAAACTGAAAACGTTTAGGGGGAAACATAATAAAAGAGAGACAATAATTGCAAAAAAAAAAAAAGATATAATAGTTGCAAAAGTGCAGCACACCCTTAAACACTAACACTCTTCAAAACTTTGGTCTTCTTGGTTGAAGCCATTTTTTATTGATTTGGAAGTATGCTTCAATTCATTGTATCTCTCTCCACCTTCAACATTTTAGCAGAAGCTTGACGATTGTGTGCCAAAATTGACTGATATTTAGAATTGTTCATAACTCTGACTAGACCTTGATTAAAGCCCCAGTAGCAGCTGAAGAAAAGCAGCCCAAAGTGTAATGCTGCCACCACTGTGCTTCACTGTGGGCAATGTGTAACTTTTGGTAATCTGCAATGTTGTTTTTCCACCAAATACACTTTTTGTAAGTATGTCCAAAAAGTTGAACCTTGGTCTAGATCAGACCGCAACACATTTTCCCATGTGTTTTGTCAGACTTGATTTAGGTTTTTGCAAAATGTAGCCAGGGTTAGATATTTGTAAGAAAAGGCTTCCATTTTGCCATCCTACCCCATAGCCCAGACATATGAAGAATACTGGAGGTTGTCTGATGGAGTATGCAACCAGCACTTGTCAGAAATTCCTGCAGCTACTCTAGTGGACCAGTTTTGGTCTTGTTTTTTTTCATCAAATTTGGAGGGATATCCAGTTCCTGATAATGTCGCTATTGTGCCATGTTTTCTCCACTTCAACCAATCAGAGCTAGAAGGGACCTTGGAGGTCTTCTAGTCCAACCCCCCTGCTCAAGCTGGAGATCCTGTACCATTTCAGATGGGTGGTTGTCCAGTCTTTTCTTAAAAAAATCACCTGTGATGAAGCTTAAAAATGTCCAGTGAGGAACTTGTTGACTATCTTCAGTATGTTCTATGGTATGCATGTACAATGCATTGGGAATTTTTTTGTACTCTTCTCCCAGCTGATGCTTTGTAAGCTTTTTGGAGCCATGGCTTTTGTGGTAAGAGGCAACTTGAGCAGATGTCAGAAAAATCCTACTTGCACACTTGAAGTATATGTTATCAAAATTATTTTAATTGAGGGCAGGTGTGCACTGACTACTATTTATCAGTTTGAATATGATTGTTTAATTCTGAACACAGCCACACCCCCTGTTATAAGAGGATGTGCACACTCATGCAACCACTTAATTGTACTTTTTATTATTTCTCACACACGCACCATTTTAGTCTGTTGTGCAGTTGAATTGTACAACTTCTATGTTACATTAAAGATGAAAAAAATCTGAAGTGATTTATCGTTATTGCATCTAAAAAACCTGGCATTTTAACAAGATTGTAGACTTTTTATATCCACTATATAACTTCACCCAGCAATTGTTATAATTGTGGTAGGATATCAGCATTCTTACCTGTGAAACCACAAAGCTTTTTTTTTTTTAATGCTTCTGTAAAAGTTGGATTTCTCAGACAAAAACATTTTGTCTGAAAAAAATCTTGCATTCAGCAACTTCTCATATAAAACACTTATTTTCTCTCACTTTGTCTCCTTTTCTGTTTTTGTTAAGCTGGACTACTGTGCAAGCTTAACAAATCTTAAGACAGTTTCTGAGAAAGAGAACTACAAATTTGTTCAGGTAAATTAAACTTTTTGCTTTCACTGGGTTTTTAAAATTAAATGACTATGGCATCAGTTCTAGCATGTTGGGTGGCTTGACAAGACACAGGTGACTCAAATTGGACTCCAAGAGTGATCATCAGTGGTTCCTGAATAGTGAAACAAGGTCTCAGGTAGACTGCCATATTCCCAGGCACACCATCTTCAGAAGATTTATTAATCACTTGAGTGAAAAGATGGAGAGATTGATTAATAAATTTGCAGATAACCAAGAATTGGATTAGAAAGTTAATATATTAGGACATATATATCATCTAAATGATTTGAGTAAATTTGAGAGTTGGGTTAAAAAATAAAATGAAAGTGAATGGGTAAAGACAAAATGCTTCACCTAGAAATACAAGTCAAATGTATAGGATGGGGGATACTGGCTTGGTAATAGCACTTGGGGAATAGTAGCTGATTGCAAACTAAATTTGAGTCAGCAACATGATGTGGTAGCTGATATGGCAAACACAATTCAGGTTGTTTTTAACCAGAAGTATAATTTCCAATTCATGCAAGATAATAGTTCAGTTTTGCTATGGTCAGACTGCACTTTAAGTATAGTGGCCAGTTCTAGACATTGTATTTTAAGTATCTCCCCTCCCCCCAAACTGGAAACGTTTCAGAGAATTATTGATGATTATAATCAGTGATATGGAAATCAAGTCCTCTGATTAAAGGTCTGATTATATTTAGTTTTGACAGAAGTTTGGGGAGAAAAGAGAGAATAGAATGGTGCTAATCCTAATTTAGATTCCTGTACTAAGCAAGTTGGAATTGGTGTAAAATCTCTCCTTCCAGCTCTCTTGATTCTACTGTGCAATTGTTATAAGATGAAAACTGAGATGAAAGCCCACAATTTTCCATAAGATTATATACCAATTATATATCAAATGCTTACCACTGGAAAAAAAAATAACTTGCTGTTCCATGCTGATTTTATATTTTCTTTTTTCTTAATTAGGGAGACATCTGTGAACCCAATTTCATAAAAGAATTATTTGAGACAGAGAAAATTGATATAGTGTTACATTTTGCAGCTCAAACGCATGTAGGTGAGCATGACATATCCCTGTAATTGTCACCATCTTGCAGGATTGATAAAGCGTTCTTCAGTAGCTTCCAGGATTTGTAGAAGGGACAGAGCTAATGCTTCATGTAATAAGCCCACATATTATGATGTGGTTGGTGGTGGAAACTTAAATAGTTCAGTTTGCCAGTAGTTGAACCCTGTTGAAATATAGATTATATAGATTAAGTAGAGCAATTTTTAGACAGCCTGTTATGGTCATTAGAATTTTTATTTGGCGTAGACTTAAATCTAAGTGCAGCACAGCCTTATTTTTCATGCAATTTAGTTATGTTGCTGCTACATTTACTGGAATATTTGAAGAATACTACTTTTTAAAATAGGGTCCTCAGTTCTTATGCTCATAGAAAAGGAACTAAATATGTACCGATTCATAAAATGATTTTTTTTTTTAAAGGACCATGGCTGCATCTGGCACAGACGTTGCACTTTTAAAGCTTAATATGCACAATTCTGCATTAGATTCTGCCCTGCAATAATAATTTTAAATATACGTTTTCCCTGTTTGTCTGCTATTAAGTCTGACAATCTATTTTAGAATATCTAGTTATTCAAGCTAAAGTGCTATACGTTTGTTTAAACGATTTATTTATGGCTTTTTAATTTTTTAAAAAATCAAGGTTCTCCTGAACCATAAGCATAAAACATGGTTTAAAATGTAATAATGCTACCATGCATAAGCTCCACTGATCTAGACTTCCAGCGTACTCTTATTATACGTGTCTGAGGCATTATCTAGGATTTCTTTGCCCAAAGTTGGGAGGCTTATGAATCTCTCTCTGTTCACAAAGAAAGAGGAATGCTCTCAGCTGTTTGCTTTATGCTTCTGTGGGCTGTCAGGTTGCAGCCTTAACATTTTTAGAAGCATTTTGTTATGTGATGTTTGGGGAATAAATAACATATTTTTCTATCAGAGCATTCTGTTAAGGATGGTAATTGTTTTCAGTTGTCAAAATGACACCCTCTTTATTCTTTTTGACTGAAAATGTAGGTCTTTCATTTTGGCACAAACTTGAGTTCAACTATGTTAATGTTTATGGAACGTACATTCTGCTTCGGGCTGCTCATAAGGCTAATGTGGAAAAGTTTGTATATGTCAGCACTGATGAAGTTTATGGAGGAAGTTGTGATAAGGTGAGCTGTTCTAGGTTGAAATTCTTCCTTTTTTTTTCCTGTGTGGTTCGGAGTGATTTTTCCGTTCCCAACTCTTATAAAGAAATTATATCAATATTTTAAATCCTTATGTTGTTTCCTATTAAAAAAAGGCATTGAAGAGGCCATTTGCATGTATACTTATAGAATGTTTCCTGATTGTAATTTGATGTACAAGTAAGCAGAACAAATTATGAGTACAGACAGTCCTGAGGTTACGACAGTAGTTGGGACCAGAATTTCCATCACTGTTGTGATGTTGTGACCATATCACTTAGCAATGGCAGTTCTGGCCACTGTAAAGAGTGGGATCAATAGGCAAGGATCTCACATGATTGTGACTTCCTGCTGGCATCTCAATTGACTTTGCTTGTGAGAAGCTGGCAAGGAACATCAGAAATCACAATCCTGTAACTGTGGTTCAGTATGGTGGTTAGAACTCTCAGGACTGGTCATAAGTACCATTTTTTTTCACCGCTGTAACTTTGCACGTTTGCGGAATGAATGGTCATAACCTGAGGACTACTTGTATATATTTTGCAACTGGATACTTAAAACTTGTTGCCGGTATTGGAGTTACTTGTACCAGTTAACTGGAGTCATGGGTAACTTACTGCTATCTGTGCTAAAATGTACTCCATGTAAACTTTTGCTGCAGGAATTTGATGAATCTTCACCCAAACAACCTACAAATCCTTATGCAACGTCTAAGGCAGCGGCTGAATGCTTTGTCCAATCTTACTGGGAAAGATACCAGGTGAGCATAAATTACATTGGGGGCGGGGGGGGGGGGGTCATAAAAGTTTCTGTGAAACATTGTATGTGTCCAAAGGGATGTGAATGCATAACAAAAGCTAGTGATTTGTGCCATAGAGCTGGGCCACATTTATTAGGGGGAGGTTGGGATCCGCCTCAGCCTCACCCATATGCCAAGGTGAGGTTGTGGCTTTTGTTTAGCATGGAGAAAGCGCTGGGTATTTTAAACTGCATAAAAGTTTTTTTTTAAGTTTATACCATAGTTTCCTACCATTATTTGCCTCCCAATGGGGAGAGACCATGCCACTAATTTTTAACAACTTGTTTGGAAGCAGATTTAGAAATTAGGTGTAGCTTAGGGGCCCCGGGTTGCTCGCTTGTTTTTAGAAACCAGCTTGTTCCTTGGAGTTTCATCTTTAATGTTAGGTGTAGTGGATCAAGTTAGATCTTCCTGCTAAATGTGCCATTTTAATCGTTTTAAGGCCTTTCTGCCTTAGCAATGTATGTCTTTTTTGTTGTTCTGTCGGCAAAAAACAATGGCTGAAGTCAGGCATTACCTGAGTGCACCTGGACATCAGCCCTTAATATCAGTGCTAAATTTGGGTGATGAAATGTCTGCAAGACAACAGCCAAGCTCAGAGAGTATCAAGGACCCCTCATTTCAACCCTAAACCACAAATACACTGTCAGATCTGCCTCAAACGTGTACAAACAGTAGAAATGATCATTGGCTCCATTTGTTGAGAAAGGTATATTTTATTAGAAGTGAAGTACATTGCAGTAGTGCATAGCCAGAACTGAGATTCAGGCTCCAAAATCCCTAAGTTGAGCTTCTCCCTCCCTTAACTGCTTTGCATCACTGATCCCCCATGACCAATCAGGTTCAAACAAGTTTTCAGAACAATCACTTCAGGTGTAGTTTCATATGCAGCTGCATTCTTCTCCCAGCCAGGTGACCTTGAAGCAGCGTCTGGGGTAATACAGCAGTTACTACTTTCACTTTCCCCCAAGCATCCACCCTCCCCATGACAGATTGTCACCGTATGGTAGTGACACACAATCAAACATTAAGTGGCAGCTAACATATTCTCTTTTATTGATATCAGTTCTTAGCAGTAAATCTGAGAAGCGAAAAAAAACCTGTAAGGGAATTGTTGCTGTTCTGGCAATAGTAATTATGCCATCAGGAATGGGTTTAACTGGATATCACTCATGTTAGGTCATTAATAGCAGTTTTGACTGGGTTCATTTTAATACAGTTGTCATGTGTACGTTAAAGTTTCCAGTGGTTATCACACGGAGCAGCAACGTTTATGGACCTCATCAATTTCCAGAAAAAGTAAGTTAAATCAAGGTCTTTTTCTTAAGCTTTTATAGTTTACCATAGAAATATGTTTCTTTCCCATGTTCCCTGAAAAATTGACAAACTGTATACTGTTTTTAGGACAATTCATGATATGGTCAAGCTATAATAAATAGACTTGATCAGGTCAATCTTCTCATATACTCAGGGCATTTTTTTTTAATCTGTAAAATGTACCAAAAGCTGCACCTGCATCTGTTATCAGATTCCATAATTATCCAAAGGCTTGACCATTATATATCTGTGCTTAGAATAAAGTATTTGCCACTTTATGTCCAAACTGAAGTTTTGAGATTTCTGATGGGGATAGGTTGAACTATTTACCGAGCAAGATGGGTGTCCAATTAGTACAATTTTTAACTTCTAATTATTTTGGAGTGGGATGTGACCAAACTTGCTTGCTGGCCATCCTTGGGTTAGAAAGTGATTTTTGTGAATCTATCTCTGTCACTGATAATTGCTTACAGGAGAATTGGTCTTAGTGTCTCCAATAGCCCAATTAAATAACAATTTTGTGTGTAGCCTGTATTTTAAGGTTTTAATTTACAGAATGAACAGCATGAATGTTGAACAACTCAAGTTTCTAGTATGTGAAAATGGGCTTTGCTGCTTTAAGAATTCCAGATGGATAAGGAGCGCTCTGTTATGGGTTAATGCTGCGCATGCATCCCCTTTACTCTCTCCAGCAGCACCACTATGCAGATATGTGCCTGTTACTTGCCACCGCTTTCCCTTTTAATCAGCTGCTTTAAGAGTTGAAACTAGGCTTGAGGTTCTTCTCATTCCGCCTCATGCACACAAAGCACTTCCTGATACCAGCTGCATAACTCAGTGCAATTTTTTGAAGGAAGGTAGGGATTTTTATGTTTATTGATAGGCTTGCCCCAGCTAGGAAAGAAAGATCTTCGACTCCATATATCCATGAAGTGATAAGTTCTTTTACTAAGGAGTAGCGGTTGCAGCAAAAACAAGGCAAGATCTAAGGTTCCTGTATTTTCCCTTTTTCCCTGGCCTTTTCCCCTTGATTGGTTCATCTTCGACCAATGATGTGCCATATAGGTGTTTTGGGAACCACTCAGATGTTTTGTGCCACTTGGTGCAATTCGCATTGTTTCCCAAGCTCCAGGACCTTGAAGGTTGGAACAAGCTGGTTCTTATACCTCTGGTCTCCATCAAATCTGTCTCTCACACACACCCTTTTAGGTCAACTCTACCTTTTACATGCCAATTGCCTACTTTCTTTTTGCCTCTCCGTCCATTGATTGATGGCAGGATGCCAGCGAGGCGCCAAGCTGAAGATGGCAGACCTGAAGCTAGCATTAATGAGAACTTACTTGCAGCAATGAAGCTACATTGTTTTCTGTTTTAAAGTAGTATGAATTTTAATAATTGTTCATTTTGTCTTTTATATTTCCTAGGTTATTCCTAAGTTCATTTCTCTTTTACAGCAGAATAGAAAATGGTATGTATTAATATGTATGTGTTCATTTAAAAACTGTGTAAGAAAATAAGCCATATCGCACCCTGAAAATTGAACATATAGCTAAAAATCAGATATGCCTATAAAATTAGTTCCTTTATTGCCAAAGAAGTTTGTAATATTAAGAAAAGGGAACAGAGCTTTGAGTTTGGTGTGTATTTAATTTTTATTTTAATACATATAATTATGTTTCCATATATGAAATTCTTAATTTATATAGTGGGGAATTGTTTAGTACTGTTAAATATGCAACATGAACAAATGGGGAATGGGTACTCAAAGCCTGGATCTATTTTAGTGTGTGTATTGCTTTTGATCAAATGAGAAGCTGTATTTGGGTGTTTAATATCTTTCCACCAGCAGAGGTCATAGAATTTATGCTAGATCATGTTTATTGTTTTGTGCTTTTCACTAATCTAAAATCTTGGTTGAGGAAGCTGTATGCTTCTATGTATTAATCTCTTTTTCCCCTCCCACGGTCCCCAGCAATCTGCAGTTTAGGAATGTCATGTTTTATGTGTCATCTAGAATTTTACTGTTAATAAAAATTGTAGATTATTATTTGCTTTGAACTTGGCCTTTCTTTTTTGCATACTTTACCTAGCAAAGACTATTACTTTGAATAATAAAATGAAAGATTTAGAGATTTCTTCTGTCTTTTAGTGAGTGTTACTCTTTGAAAACTTGACTAGACCATTCTGCTATTAGCGAGGACCTTGCTTTTAATAATCCATATTAAAAATGATCTATTCTTGTGTTTTCCTTTAGTTGCATTCATGGTTCAGGACTTCAGAAAAGAAATTTTCTTTATGCTAGTGATGTAGCAGAAGCATTCCTTACTGTTCTGAAGAAAGGGCAGCCAGGTGAAATCTACAACATTGGGACCAGTTTTGCTGTGTCTATTACCCAGCTTGCGAAGGAATTAATCCATCTTGTGAGTAAACTAAATTTGAAAATAGGTGAACTAAGCAACAGCAGTAAAATGGGCCAGAGCTGACTTGAGCATTTCACTAGGGCAGATCTTGGTTTTATTTTAAACGTTTGACATTGTAAATCTCTTTTTGCTTCAGTTTTTTTTTTAATGTTTTAAATGTAATTAAAAAGCAGTCATGTGACAAACCACAAGATTAGATCAATATTGTGACACCTGACACTGGGGATATAAGAGAAACTACCTCTGGTAGGTAGTTGTGTCATTCACATTCCTTCCTGTGAGTATAGATCTTTACTCAAATAGTAATAATTTAAGAAGATCCTGAAACTTTCCCCTCAGGGAGAAGATGGCTTGTCTGTTATAACGACTGGTCCACTGAAATTATGCAATGAACAGAGGGGAAAGGAAATCCTGCAGGAAGGAAGCTAAAATTTTCAGGATTTTAACTCCGCAACATTATCATTTTTATTGTTCTAAAATAAAGTAAGATAACAAAATATAAAAGGAAAACAGTGGGGAGGAAGAGGGATGGAAGTGAGGAAGGATGAAGAAAAATGAAAAGAAGCATTAACTTCCAACGATCTCTGTTGCAGCAAAATAAGGCATTAACATCAAATCACAACTTTTTGTTTTTTTCATAGTAATATAAACTATCAGTTTCTATAAAGATCTTATCAGTCTAATTGGTAAAACCAAAAATCATAAGTTTCTAGGATTTTAACTCCAAACCTGTAGTCCAACAAAGACTTTCCCCAAGGCACCCCGTGCTCCTTACCCAGGATTCCAATCTGTCCAGGATGGTTTAAGGTCTCCTGCTTTGGATGGGGTTGGACTAGAAGACCTCCAAAGTCCCTTCCAGTCTTATGATTCTATCTGGGCATCTTGCTTAAGGACAGTTTTACTCATCGACCCAGATTCTGGTCCCAATTTTGGCAATTTTGGTTCAAGGGCTACCTCTAGTCATCTCTTTTCTACTAGTTGCAACTTTTGAGGTCAAGTAACCTCCGTGAGCAGTGGTGGGATTCCAAACTGCGCGCTACCGGTTCTGGGCACTTTACGGGTGCCCGTGTGCTTCCTGCAGGCGCGCGCAGCCCTCTAAGATCGCCATCACACAGCACTCAACGATCGCCTGAGCTGTTTTTAGTTCAGATGAGGTGTGGCAATCTGTTCTGCCGCATGAATCAGCTGAGCTAAAAATCAATGGGATAAAGGACGTGTGCGCCTAACACGCGCTTTAAGCATGCACGCAAGACTCAAAGATCGCCCTCGGCGAGTTGAGTTGTTTTTTTTTAGCTCACCTGAGGTGCGGCAATCCGCCCTGCCGCATGAATCAGCTGAGTAAAAATCAATGGAATAAAGGACGGGAAAGACCACAGGCGGGTGGGTGGGGCCAGCTGGTTCTCTGAACTGTTCAATATTTCTGCTACCGGTACGCCAGAACCAGTCTGAACTGGCTGAATACCACCTCTGATTATGAGACTGCCCACAACATAGTTCCACAATAGAAAAATGGGATTATAGCTACCCATTCATGTCTTCCCATTAGATACTCTTTATTTTTTTGCTTGTGTAATTCTATAATATTTAAGTTAGAATATTATGATTGGAAGAATTCTAGTATTAGTCCTGATTGAAGCGCATTAATAACAAATCCATGTACAGTAAAAGCTGTTCCAATTATTCATTGAACTATCTATTCAAAGAAGGTTAATTAAATCAAGATTATCAGATATTTCGTTGGTAATATGCACCTTTTCTTCATTGTCAGATTAAAAATACTAGTTCAGAAGCTGAAGTAGAACATTGGATGGATTATGTTAAAGACAGGTAAGACTGAGTAGGCTTCATGAAATCATTTGTTAGGATTGCTTTCTTTTTTTTTATAATCTTCTTAAACATTTACTATTTGTCACAGAATTAGACACATAACTCTGTTGTCAATTCTGAGAAATTGAGAATACACTGAAACTCGAAGTTGTCTGGCCCATTCCTTTGTGGGATAACGGGTTGTTGCATTGAGAAGACAGCATGGAGCTTTAGTGCATTACTTTTCCTTTCCCAGAGCAGAAAAAGTACAAGGCCTGTAGGCAACTTGGCACATAATCCCCAGCTTTTTGTTAGTCTTCCAATGAGAAGGCATTTCTGCATAATACAAAACTGGTTCCTGGCCACCTATTCAGTTCTAAGATTGAGAGAAAAGCTGTAGTTGGAAACGCTCTTCATCTCACGGATGAGACTCTAAAGGCTTGTAATGACACTAATTTTCACCAGTCGCAGGTTTTAGATTTTAAAAACTGGGAAAGATTCAATCTCTGAAGGGAGAAGCTTTAAATACACTTCTTTGTGTAGAATAGGGAAGTATGTTTACTTTACAATTCTCTTCTTAACACTCCTATTTCATAATTTGTTTTTTGTCATTAGCACATTGTCTTACAATAAGGTCTAGGTCCTCCCCCCCCATTGCTCCCCCCCCATTTCTGTTTATTGCTTCTGGTCTCAGTTTTTGTTAATTACCTGTCCCATCTCCTTTTAAAAGATTAGCAAAATTACCACCTGCACAGGGATTCTTGAAAAGGAGCAATTTGCAATCAACAGAAATTAAGCATTGTGTATTGATTCTAAAGAATAGTGATACTTAGAAATGTTTATGACTCATCTTAATTAAACAGTAAGAGGCATTGGGTGCAGTTGGAAGATGAAGAATTAAAAAGTATCAAATCAATTTCAAATGAAAGGGATAATCTGTAAGAATTAGACTACATAACAGCGTGGAAACTTCAAAAAGATGGGGAATTATTAGTGTACATGTGTGGTTGTTAGCAGATACTGGCTGCTGATTTGGAGATAATTGCCTCTACAGATTCCAGTGCCATTTTCAACTTTCAGCAGGATACAGAAATTCAAAAAATATCTCACATTAGCTCAGAATTATTTGGTGTTTTTTCTTCGTTTTTAGCATCCCTTTAGCCAAAAAAGCAGACACACTTTAAGAATAATATAGCCAGATTGACTTAGTTGAGACATTTGAGTTGTATAGTTGAGGCATTTCTGATTTTAAGCAATGTTTTGATTTTCTAGAAGAGGCTGGCCCTTAAAGAGTTGGAGTTCAATAAATCAGATTTATCCAATAAACTGATTGGACAATAGTTGCTTGAAGCAATGTAATTAAAATATTGCAACACAGCTGAGCTTCTTGTAAAACTATGTATAGTTTCTGAAACATCTTTTTTTTCCTGTTATGGAAATTACAGCATAACTGAAATGCCTCTCTGCTGATAAGTAGTGGGAGTTAGCATATGAACTTAAGAGTATGAGTATATATCTGATGTGGATAATGTGGAGTCATCTCTGTTAAATTACTGAAACTGACTGACATCTTAAGAATTAGTTCAACCAAGAATATTCTGAGCATTCCATGAGCTCGTTAGAGATGACAAACTTCAAACATGCTTTTCGGGATTTCTTACATTTCTTGTATTTTCTGCAAAATGTTCTGAAATATAATAGCAAAGATCGGGTTTACCTATTAAAATCCGATTTATTTAAATCCAGCTTAGTATGATTAAGAGCCATGGTGGCACTGTGATTAGAATGCAGTATTGCAGGCTAATTCTGCTGACTGCCAAGCAGCATCTCAGCACCTACCGATGGCACATTGTCACCCCTCGCACTTCTTAGCTGGGACTCCTACTTCTTCCCACTTAATGGCCAGCATGGTCCTGGGGTTACGATGGCTTTACAAGAGCCCTGGCATTCACTATTGCATGCAAACTCTGCCCACAGCCAGGAGTTCAATCCTGGCCGGCTCAAGGTTGACTCCACCTTCCATCCTTCTGAGGTTGGTAAGATGGTTTAGGACCCAGATTGTTGGGGTTGATATGCTGACTCTGTAAACCACTTAGAGTGACCTGTAAAAGCACTGTGAGGTGGTATATAAATCAAAGTGCTATTGCAACTGAATTATGTGTACCTTTTTGTTGTAGTTTATACATGTATATTATGTATATAATTTATATTTGAATTTACATTTTTTAATTTACATATTCTGTCTGTTTGATAAAAATGGAATAGGTTGTGCAAAGTAAAATTGAAGTATATATGATCCAAATCTATTAAAATAAATAGACATTGTCTTTCCACCCCCAGTAACAATAATCTAGAATGTAAAATTAAGTTGCCTATATAGTATTGCTTATTCATTTTAAGGCTGTCTTTAGAGGAGGCAAGAATTAGTCTGATACTACGATTATGGCAGGCTAGAAACTGGGAGATTAACTTTCATCCAGTTGCTCCCTTCCAACTCTAGGAAGAAGGCTTTAGCAAAACCATTTCTGAAAAAGTTGCCAAGACAAATGCAAGGACTTGTCAAGGCATCCACCATGAGTCAGCACTGACCTGAAATCACAAATTTCCTTTATTTTAAAAATTAAATGGTAACATCTCACATGGGTCATTTCTGCAGAATTGTTTTCTCCAGTGTGGCACTTATCCTGTGGCTGTAGCTACTCCATTTGATATTTTGAATTATTTCAGTTGTATGAATGATTAATGTGGGATAACATTTGCCTTTGTTCTACTTACATGTACATATTTTAATAGAACAGGAAAGGAGTCTTTTTCAACTTAAGGGCTGAGCCAAAGGAAGATGGCTTTCTGGTGATAACTGACACAAATGCTGCTGGAAATAAAATGTTTCTATTGAAAAACTCTTTTCTTTTTTTAAAGACCTACAAATGACATGGGATACCCAATGAATTCTGGAAAAATGTATAGCTTGGGCTGGAAACCCAAGGTCTCCTGGAAGGAAGGAATCAAGAAAACAAGTATGTTATATATACAGTGAAACAGGAGGGAGGCACAAGGGAAATGAACAGCCATCATAAGCTAATTTGGAAAATAAAATCCACTTAATTCACACACCAATTTGTCACAGAATTAGACAGCTAAAGCTACAATTTCTATAGCGGGGAACTTAATTAAACTTGCTTTTGAGTTTTATGAGGTTAATTTTATCAGCTTGAAATCTGAACACAAATGATCTGTTTCAGAGCAGCTATTGTGTTTGGCAAAATGACTACTAAATCCTGGGTTTTAGTTGTCCAGTTGCCATGTCTTCTTAGACTCTCGGAGAGAGCTCAATGCTTAGTTACTGTATAAGAGCAGCAGAAAGTAGCTAATTCTTATCTACCATATTTTTTTGCACTATAAGACGCTCCAGACCATAAGACGCACCTAGCTTTTGGGGAGGAAAAGAAGAACAAAATAATAATCTAGCACAAGTAGCTGATAGGCGGTTAGATCGGTCTCCCAGAATACTGCTGATCCGCTGTTCCAAGCTGTGGGGATCGCCGCCACCGCCACCACTGCCCATTGCCGTTGCTACCTATTGCCACCTCCACGCACCTCATTTTCGGCCTCCTTGCACCCCATTTTTGGCCTCCATGTGCCCCATTGGCCCATTCCAGGCGGGGATTGCTGCCGCCTGGAACGGGCTGAAAATGAGGCACGTGGAGGCTAAAAATGGAGCACACAGAGGTGGCGATAGAGGGTGATGGGCAGCAGCGATTCCAGCAGCCTGGAACAGCTGATCAGCAGTATTCTGGGAGGCAGTTGCTTGTGCTGAAGCTGACTTGCTAAGAGGCAGAGGCTAACAGGTGGGGGGCAGTGGGTGGGTGGGGCTTCGGCAGCATTCGCTCTATAAGACACATAGACATTTCCAGCCACTTTTTTTGGGAGGGGGGGAGTGCATCTTACAGCGCAAAAAATACGGTATATACTTTACATGTAGTATTTTTGTTTCAACAGAATACATTTTATCTTATTGCTTGCATGGTTCCATGTGTTCAGCTTCATCATTTATATGATGCATTTCTTGGGGGGGGGGTAGGGAATTGCAGCTCTCGGGTTTCGGTTCCATATAAAAAATACAGGTAGTCCTTGACTTATGACCGCAATTGATCCCAACTTTTCTTTGTTAAGTGAGACATTCGTTAAGTGAGCTTTGCCCCCATTTTATGACCTTTCTTGCCACAGTTGTTAAGTGAATCACTGTGGTTATAAGTTAGTAACCCAGCTGTTAAGTGAATCTGGCTTCCCCCATGGTTTTTGCTTGTCAGAAAGCTGCAGAAGGGATCACATGACCCCAGGGACTCTGCAACCATCATAAATATGAATCAGTTGTCAAGCTTCTGAATTCTGATCACATGATCATGGGGATACTGTAAAGGTCATAAGTCATATTTTTCAGTGCCACTGTAACTTTGAACGGTCACTAAACAAACTGTTGTAAGTCGAGGTCTGCCTGTATACTTATTCTGTCCCGAGAACATCAGTGGATGGGATTCAAAAACCCTTTTGTGTGAGTGAGAGGCTTTTTTTTAAAAAAAAGAGTCCCTCTGCTTCTTTGCAAACTTCCACAGGCCTTGCGCTTCATTGTGGAAGATCCTCCCACAAATATATACCGTACTAGAGGGTTGGCATGTCTGCCCCTCCCCTTTTTGGGGGGAATATTCTGGTTCTCTAGAAAAACAACACAGGATTTTCTGTACTTTAAACACAGGAAACATTTGTGGATTGGAATCCACATTTGAATGTGTGAGGCATTACGTAGATAAGAGTAATTTGATTTGATTTGAATGGAAAATAGCCTATTATATAAATCAGCCCAGCCCCATTCATCCACAAGAGATATCACTAGACAACTAATTGTATGCAAAGATAGAAATCCTTGCGGTTTTCAACTTCCACGGCTAGTCAATGCAGGCCAGGGCTGTCAAACTGGTGGCCCGCGGGCCGGATGTGTCATGCACAGGCCACACCCACCTCAGCTCCGCAAAGGCAAAAAATATCGTGATGACGTCACAATTTGGCCTGTGGAGTGTTTGGGATTGAAAGGAAGAAACAAAGCTACTGAATAGGTAGGGTATGGATAATGTGAGCCACACGCATGGCAGCTGTGAGAATTCCTGAAAACAGTTCTGTCATTTCCTGGGATAGTGGGCTGCTTCTGTGGCTACCAGGCACAGCCATTGCTAATATAGCCATTGCTAATATAGCCATGATTGTCAGCCAATTGCTAATATAGCCATGATTTTATAGCATAATATTTTTCCATCATTAGATGAGAAATTTCAATCAAATTGAAAATTGTTGGAAAGTTGCTAGTATGCAGAGAGCCCCTATAAGCTGTTACTGATGGTGAAAGGGTATAAGGTTATAAGTAGATTGTTAGTGACTAATTTCATTTAATTTCTTAAATTAAAACTGGCATGACTTTACCTTACAAGAGTGTTTATGGTGTAAATTATTTGTTTTGTTTTTAATCCTAGTTGAATGGTATCAAGAGAACTTCCACAATTGGAAAAATCCAGAAAAGGCTTTGGAACCATTTCCTGTTGCTGGAGAATCTGTATGAATTTGTTTGCCTCAGAGCTGAAAGGGACGGAAAGAAGAAATCATACTACCTCAACATGTTAAGAAAAAAAAATGGAGTGGTTGAAGATGAAGGTGTATTGTATTCAAGAAACAAGAAGTATCAGCAGAATAATAGAATCAAATTTTTGAATTCCCAATGGGGAATTTGGGGCCAGATTAATTTTACAAACACTCCAGTACTGAAGCTTTAAAATGACATTTCAAGACAGTAACGTTTATCCCTTTAAAATTGCACTTTAAAGTTGCTCTTTTTTATTGTTACAATATTGTATTATCAGTATTATTAAAATTTAGTCAATGTTTTATACTTAAGGGGTAGGCATTTTCTTCATCATGTTTACCAGAGGACTTTAGTAATTATTCATTTTTAAAGTACTTCTCTGTGCTGATACCTGATGATTCCAGAGCTGAATTGAAAAGATAGGAATTTTTCTACTTGCTCAACAGAAATTGATTTATGGACAATGAAGTTATATTTTAACAGAATAAAAATATATTTCAATTATATTTTATATTTATTTTATAAAAAATACTCTGTGTGAAATAAATTACTAGATTCTTTTAAGGGCGATGAGTGTTTTAAGATTCAAATAAAACAGGGGTGTCAAACTGGCGGCCCCTGGACCAAATGCATCATGTGCAGGCCACACCCATCCCAATTCTGTGAATGGGAAAAGCGTGAAATGTCACATGATAGCAACATGACGTGGCGAGTTTGACACCCGTGATATAAAAAGCATACTTATGGTTCTTCTGAGCTAAAAGTATATGTGGAGTCACCTCACCTTGGTTCAAATGCATTCATTGGCTTCCTGGTTTCCAGCTTCCAGTCATCCACAAGTTCAAAATAAACATGTAAGAATAGCGTCGGCCCAATCTATGGCAGCATGTAAATTGTATTTTCACTAAAGAATGCTGAAATAATGCTTGCATAATGGAAACCTCTTCAGATTTATCTGAAAAATATTTTGGAATGTGATTAAAAAGGATCATTATTCTTTTAGTTTTAAAGAATAATGATCCTTTTTAATCACGTTGCAAAGTATGTATGGTTTGACAGTTCGTGCAATACTTAGGTAAGAAATCTGAATTAATTTGGTAATTCAGACTTGGTAATTCAGGACCGTTTCTAGATACTTTCTAAAAATAAACTAAATGCTCATTAAAACTTATGTGAGGCACATATCGCAGAGAAATAGAGCCATTTGTTAGGATAAAAGTTATATGTAGTAACATTTTACTCCACGGGAATCAAATACTGGTCAGCATGAAGAGGAAAAAAAAAATTAAAGCAGTGGTCCTGTTTATACTAATTACTAAAAATAATAAGATACAAACAAAAAATATATCTCATCATTAAGCATTGAAATCATCCAAGTGTCTGCTTAAAAACATTTAAAAGGTTTCCTGAAAACAGGAGGTCTGGGACATTTTTTTCCATGATGTAAAAGCATGTTCCCTTCAATTTGATGAAGGCAAGATCTTTAGCAAGCCGCCTCTAGTTGACCTAATCAGAAGGACAGAGTCTGTGGATGAGAAAATGCCACACACTCCCTTGAGAACTGATAACCGTATAATTGGTTGCACCAACTGAATGTACTACAGCAATAACACCATTTCCAGAATTGCTTGAAAAGCATACACTATTTTCTTCATAAGCATGTTAATGGTCAAAACAAAATTGTGATTGCAATTTGGAAACGGTTCAAAACTAACCCTCCTACAGAAAAAACTTTAAAATTCTATCTGCTCTTAGAGTTGTACTTAATAGATCTATTGTAGATTTTCTGCTGTGTGGATTGTCTCCTCTCAGAGCTGGGAACTCTATATATGTGATTTTATTTATTTAGGTAAGTTATATGACAGCCAGTTTTGCAATAGTGGTTTCCAAGAATTAAAATAGCTGCAAGAAATAACCTGTGATGTCTGAGGTAAAAACTGTAGCTCCCTAAACTCTTGGCCTGAATGCCAAATGGACTCTCTTCTATCATCCCCAGCCAATAGCATCAATGATAGGTATACCAGTTCAGAATGTCATCCGAGTTTTCATAATTACTGCTAAATTCAAGCTTGGGAACAATTTTATGGAGAAAAAAACATAGCCAAGCTGAAATGGAAAATGATTAATGGAAGAGGTTGATATGCTGATTTTTGACTTGGGTTTCGATGTATCTGACTTATGCTGGTATTTGCCTGAATAACTTGATAGCTGAAATTGCTCAAAGAATGATAACTTTGCTGGTTTGGTGTGTGTATGTTTGTCTTTAAAAAACACCACAGGGTTGTGTATGAAATCCAATGGAACTGAATCCAGCATCCCATAATCAAATGAATTATGGGGAAAAGCTTTAAAAATAAACAATGTAATGTTGAACTATGTACCAAAACTCTGGAAATTTTATCAGGAATTATATTCTATGTAATATTCCAGATGTCAAGAAATGGTTTTTGGAACTGTGTTTGTTTTTAAAAAGGAAATATTTTCTTCCAATTGAAGGATGCAGTTATACATGTATTATTAGTGAAAGCAAGTAAGCAGAGATTGTCATATCACACAATAATATTTTTTGCAGCTATTGCAGTAGTGTATTCTTTAGTTAACCAGGCAACTAATTATAAATGAGATTTTCATCCTAATTTGTATTTTTAGTTGGCTTCTTTTAAAAAAACTTGGCTGGGAATTCTGGGAGTTGTAGTCTGCTCAGTTTAAAGTTGCTGAGATTGAGAAACTACTCTAGGCAATTTTGACAATTGCTGGCTGTAAAAAAAAATGACAATGAAAGTAATGTACTATATGTAGCCTTTACCAGATCGTTGGGGTAGCTGTTATATCATTTTTTCCAAACCTGTGTGGATTTTAGTCCAATATATTTTCACGTCGAACATGTCCACCACATATGGTAATATGAACCAGGTATCTGATGACATTTCCAGCATTTATCGGATTTATTCTTAAACATTCTTGCAAGTCTCGTCAGGGTAGGTGCCACCAGTAAAACTTCTTACACAAATTTTCTTTATATGCAGGTTGACATTGTCATTTTATAATTTTGAGACCACAATTTTTGCCATTTATCCAAATCAATCCCATATCCAAAATTTTACCCCCAAGCAATCGTTTCTTTAACTTGCTCCTCCTCCAATTTAAATTCTAATAGATATCCATAAAGTTTTTTAACTACCTTTTCATCAGTACCCATCCAAATTTTATCTAAGTCAGTCAACTTAAATTGGGTTATTTAGCCTAGAGTCCGAGGTGCTCTGAGAGGCCGACGGTTGAAAGGTGATGATGATCGACCCGGGCACGAACTTCTCGCTTTTTACCCAAGAGATTCTTGCTTAGGAACGCGGCAGAGACGGAGCAAGAATGGGGCGGAGAGGCGCCCTCTGGACGTGGGCAGAGGTAATGCAGCCCCATTTCACGCGCCAGAGATTAAGATGGAGAAGTAGGTTCTTTTGCTCAAAAGAGGGACCTTTTCCATCGCTCTTACATGCTTCTGCGGTTCCATTCCAACCTGCAGGGATGTTTTAATTCAAGACTTCCTAGAGATCCTCAGTCATTCTAGGTCATAGTTTTGTCCCAAGGGTGCTTTTTCAAGAGGCAGCTGGACTTTCTGGTTTGTTTGTTTTTTGGGTTTTTTTTGAAGGCTTGGAAGAGAAGCGAAACGTCTTCAAAGAAAAAGCAGGAAGTCCAGTTGAGGAGGCACCTTTGGGATTCTTCGTGGTACAATTCGCGTGGCCGTGCTTATAGTTCTGTCCAATTATGCCATTTGTTTCTACTCGCCAAACGAAGGCAACAGGGGCTAAAGCTGTGAGATTTGCATCATGAATCCGAGTAGCTTCTAGGGGAAAGAACGTTTTCAGATAGCCGGTGCTTTTAGTAAGCGTTAGAAAACCAGCCTCGTAAAAAAAGCAAAATAAAAGCCCTTGAGTGATTTGCACCTGTTGGCATGCAAATTAGTAGTAGTAGCAGAAGCAGCTAATTAAGGAGAACTGCACGCTGGACCAAAAGAAAAAAAAATCCAACTGTATATACTACTAGATCTTTCCGATATTTGAAATATAACTAACGCAAAGATCCAATAAAATCAGCAGGAAAGAATTGATCAAGTTTTTTCTACTTCATCTGGAAAAGAAGTTGATCAACCGCCGAAATAGCTCAGTTGGGAGAGCGTTAGACTGAAGATCTAAAGGTCCCTGGTTCGATCCCGGGTTTCGGCAATCTCTTTTCTGTTCTTTTTTTTTTTTACTTTGCTCAGCAAGAATGTTTCTTCCCAATCTCGATCCGGTTGCAGAACAGCCTCGTGTAATCCTGTGTATTGGAGGAATACACGTGAAGGAATTATTGCTGCTCTTTTCCACAAGGTTTTCGGTGCATAATAGGAGGAAGGAAAAAGACGCTGCGGGTGGAGAGAGGGGGGAAAATGGGGGGGGGGGGGGGGAGAGAGAGAAAGAAAGGAAGGAAGGAAGAAAGGAAGAAAGAAAGAAAGAAGCTGCCTTTGAAAATACTTAGCTGGACCCGCAGCCTAACTTGATTTCTGGAATTGCAGCAGGAGAAAATACAGGATATTAGTTCATTTTTCGCCTTTCTCATGACCTCCTGTTCATGTGAAGTCTTGCATTGGAGACTTGGTGTTTGGTTCAAAAGTGGGACTTGCTTCCATAGTTGGCTAAACTCTCGGGTGCCCCCAGTTTGGCCTGGAGCTGAGAAGAGCTTGATCCCTGAATTTGAGATATAGACACTTTTACAACCCCAAATCTGAGGGCTTCTTTGTCCACCCGAAAATAGAAATCACCAACCAATTCAGGCAAAGCAGAAAAGCATTTATTGGAAGGGTGTGGTGTGTGTGTGGGGGGGGGGGGGGGGGCACTTCCAACAAAACCAGTGTATTGAATAAAATAACACTGATTAATTTTAAAAAATGTAGGGAAATGTAATAAATATGTTGCTGTAGTTATATGATACAAGGAGCATTGAAGGGTTAACCTACACGGATTAGTATGGGGCCCCTATGCTCTTGGGAGCCCCCCAGTGGTGGGATTCAAAAGTTCCCACCACTGGTTCTGTGGGCGTGGCTTGGTGGGCGTGGCTGCAGGGGTGGGATTGCTGAGAGGTTAAAAAGGGCCTAGGAGTAGGGCGGATGGGTGGGCCCAACTGCAGAGCATCGGAGAGACTTAGAGCAAACCGGTTTTCTGCCAGCTGATCTTCGGCGCTACCAGTATGCCAGAACTGGGCTGAACCGGTAGAATACCATCACTGATCAGGCCCATGCTATTAACTGGAAGAATAGCGGATTCTACTTTGGGAGGGATTGTCCAGATAATTTACTAGAATTTTGTTCAGGCAAAAATTTTGGATGGGAATATTTGTCCTAAACTGTTATTGCCTCAAGCAGTGAATCAGATTCTTCAGCTTTCTCAAAGCATCAACATTTTGAGATTTGAGTTATACCAAGTGGCCACAGGAGATGTGTGACCTCTCCCATCGTGCCTGAAAAATTC